AGTCGATTATTTACAGACCGCCTTCATATAGTTTGTAGCTTTAAACAACAAACCAAGCAACGAATTCTTTTGCCCCATTTGAGCTGAGTAAATAGCTATGGCTGTAATTCGATCGATAGTGTTGACGGTATGGTCGGAGTTCGGAAGTAAACTTTTAAAGCATTTCCGACAGCTGTTCTCCAAACAAAACAAAAAAAACGCTTAAAAAGCTGACCATGTATCGTACGAGAAGTTCAGTCCATGCATCTTGTATTAAAAAGCTAAACGAATATGTCCCTCAGAGGCTCAGCATCCCACAGTGGAATAATCGATGAAACAGGTGCATTCAACATTGGTACCGCAAACAGGCCTCAAGACATTTGACACATCAAGCTGTTGTAGCCTTCTTCACACAATCGATAACAACACAAACGGGTTTTTTCACAGTTTACTGACATGTCTTTGTAAGCAAGAAGTAGCTACAAACTTAGCAATGGTAGTGTGGTTCGTTCTCACTAGGTTAACTGTTGCTGAAGGAAAATATTCAATTTCTTAACTATTGCCCTGAGAATGACCAATCACAGACAAAAACCGAGGATGATATCTTCGTACAATTCAAATGCTCCTTCCATTAATTTCCACACCATGATGTTTCGTCGATTATTTAGAGGCTGGGTGCAATTAGCTGGTATATTGCCAAACAAACAAAAATAGTTTCCACTCTATTATTAATTTACTAAATTTTAATAACGACCCTTAAGTGGTTTCCGTGTGGTAATGCATTTTCAGACAAGAATTCAAATACTCACACTTTACATTCATTAAGGAAATCGCGAGAGGCTGAGAAATTTGTTTGCGAATCATCTTTGACAGCTATGGACCTTGTGTGTCAAGACAATCACATTACACCAGCATTGGTTATCGAAGCATGAATTCGTGCGACTGTGCCCTGAGTACATATACAATAAAGCAAATAATAATCTCGTTGTTTTCCCAGACATTTCTATCATCTGTTTATCCTTCAATAGCTCAGTTCTCCGAAGTGATGCTCCATTAGTCTGAAATGGCTCTCCAAACGTGCTTGGAACTAACATGCGAAACTCGGAGGTAATTACTCCCTGCGAAAGGGGTGAAAACATGGCTTTGAGTGTCTGATAACATTCAATGGAAAACACCAAGTTATTGACGAGACATTTGATGGAAGCCAAATTAGGAACCACGGTCTGTCAGTACAATGAAAGAGAGTACTATGCTTACAGTCTTTATTGAGGAAACTTGTGAATACAACGGCAGGTTTTTAGTTCATTGAAATGGTTTGAGTGAAGTCTGGCCACACTTATTTCCAGAAGTAAAATATTCACCAAATATGTCTCACAAAATGAGTGGCAAGACGGAATGATGTTTAAGCAATGTTGACGTTGCTCACTGCGACTACTTACCAATTTGGTCCAGGAGGAACAGAAGAGTTCCTAAAATCCGAAGGAGGTTTATTTGTTCGTACTTGGGTTTTCCTGTCGTGTGAGGGAGTTGGGTTTACAGCTGATGATTTTGACAGTATTCCAGTTATATCACTGCGTGTCAATGTACTGTGGAAGAAAGTCCGGAGTGATGCAGTTCCAGGACGTTTACCACTTTGGTGAAACCCACGAGCACCGGTATGGTTGGTTTCCCTACCAGGATATAGTGCATCATTGGTCATATTCCCTCATTGTGTCGATCATGGTACATGTATTCTATTAAGTCTGTGAAATGTTAAAATGTCATAGGTCAGGTGCATAGATGCTCATGTAATGTCTACCATAACCATCCCTCTCCCAGTATACATTTATTTTTTCATAACAAAAACATGGAAAATGTGAGCAGGACTCATTAATACCCCCGACTTAGACTGAAACATTCACAGCGACAACCTGGCCATTTACTTTACCTGTGGTTTACTATGAGTAAAGTTACCTTCACAAGAAACTGCTGGTGTTGTTTTGCCAATCCACGACTGAAATTTCAAGTAAGATTTGTACTGTACCTGATTGGAAGAGGAATTTGACAAAACATCTATATGAATAGTTGCTACTAGCGATGTATATTCTTTTACTAGCGATACCTCTTTATCACATACATCGGCAATAAAGTGCCTAACAATAAAGTCAACTGTTTGAAAATGCATTATTCCGTGTTGAATCCAAAATTAAAATGCGAAAGTATTTGTTTTGTTCGGTCTCAAACGCCAAAATCAGCAATATTCCAGCTATATAACGGGAACAAACTAGTTGGCAAACTGTTTTACCAATGTTCACACACACAAACTCATGTTTGTAAACACAAATCGTCAAACATGAGTTTCTCGTGTGAAGCTTTCTTAACGCCGCACTTGGCAATTTTCAAGATACACGATAGCAGTCTGTAAATGATCTAGTCTAGACCAGTCAATCCAATGATAGCATCGATGTAAGCAATTGGGATACGATGACATGCATGAGCCAAGTCAGCGAGCTCGACCACTCGATACCGTTATTTGCCTCTTACGGCGAGCATGGGTTAATGAAGACCTATTCTCTAGTTGAAGGCCACATTGGAATGATTGCAGCCCTATAGCAAGTTATGGCATTTACACATTATCATTATCACATCCAAGTTATAAACAATGTTTATAGATATCGGGTCCTGTTTTGTAGGCGAACTCTCTTTTCATTCCATCAACATGTATACCAAATTTGGAAAAGGAGGAGTTATGATTTGCTGAGTTTGTCATGGCAGGAAGGTCCAGAGCTTAAAGGTGTCTGCCCCGTCCTGGTACTTTTTCTTGATACTCTTGAAGGCTGACTCTCCATTTATCAATCCTTCACAAGATAATCTCCTCGTAAATATGCAAACCAGATGTATAATAAAGTCACTCTCTACAGCTCTTAGTCTGCCATGACTTATTGTGCTTTCATTGAGCAAACTCTTTTGCAAACTAGTCAAAAAAGGTAATCACTCTGTGAAGTGAAAGCCGTGTTTTGTCAGAGCGATGTTTTCAATCTACATCATCACTGTAAGATGTAGGAGAAGCTTTTCTGATAAGAAGAAACACTGAGGATTTTCCTCGAACATCTGACAGAAAGCTCCGACTAAATATGAGGTGTAGGTGTTGAACACTTAGCCATCTTTATATGTATGGTTTAATGCCGTACTCAGCAATATTTCATCTTTCTGACAGCGGCCTGTAAATAATCAAGTCTGGACCATACAAACCAGTGAGCGATGATCCACGATGCCAACTTACAATGAGACAGTCAACCAAATCATCGAGTCTGATTGCCCGGAAATGTATGCTGTAATCTGATTGTATGAAACGTTTTAATTAAGATTGAATCGATGATTATTATGTGTTTTCCCATGGATATTCATATTATTTTCCCTTGTGTAAGCGTAAGTCAACTCGAAAAACAAATATTCCAGGTATATTATTGCAGTGTGTAAATAATCAATCTTGAGCCAAATATAGCAATCACCTTGACCTTAAGGGTATATAATTAAAACTGCCAATTCCCACGGATATTCATATTATTTTCTCATTAAAACAGAGTTCAAAACCCGGGTGATGCTACACAAATGTGTAAACATGGCCCTTCAAACATTATCTGACGCCACTATTCAACTGAAATACAATAGATAGCAGTATTAAAGTCAATTCACACACGGATAACGTAGTGCACGTTATAACATTCCAGACTGAAACAAATGTGGTTTGATTGCTTCATACACTGCAAGCTTGCAAGATCTGCATCCAATGACAGTTGAGTAATAAAGTCCAACCAAGTACAAACATATCCTGCTGTAATAATTGGAAAATTTCTAGTAGCTTCATTTAACGAAGTTGAAGAATTCGATAAATCCAACTAATTGGATGAAGCGGGAATTACCTAGCATAAAACTCCAATTTGTCCTTTATATCCGTCTGTGTGAGTGTATTTCGAGCCGATGTGTGACTGTTTCCAGCTGGATTCATCGTTTTAATGAGGTAAAGTTGAAGATAGCATATGTGACTGTTTCCTTATTTGACAAGTATCCTATCACAAAGAACTCAATGTGCAAGTTACCTGTCTTCACAAGATCGAGTAAAGTTCACGTGGTGCCAAATTTTGAACCTCAGTTTCGATTGTATTTCGTGCCGGATTCATCGTTTTAGTATACATACATGTATGTGACTGTACACGTATTTGACAAGTATCATATTGCGCTCCTATTGCGCAAAAACAATGTTTACTGTCTTCAAAAGACACACTGTTTTCCCCATGCGGTGACAACTTTTAAAGTAATACATTCTTAAGTTCAGGGGTTCAAATCATGCAATCAAACAGCGATTACAGGAGGCTCCGAAGAATTCATCTGTATTAAATTTATTGGTCAATATGAATTTTGAAAATTCAAGAGAGCCGAATCCCTCACGACGTGTATTATGTTTGGTGTTATTGATTGTCATCACCTTTTTCCGTTCCGTAAATATCTGGCATGAATTTCTTTTACTTTTGTCCTATCATAAAATCCACTGAAAAATTGTTAGAAACAACGGTAACTGCTCACTCCCTCTTTTTAGTTCAGCTGACTGACTGTTTGACTAACGTGCGACGTGTCACAATATAGCATTTTTAAATTGTGAGGTATATTAAATACCATGTGTGAGTGAGTATTGTTTTCTGCCTCAACTGTTTCACTGTCACAGCTCTGTCACTTATTCGTGAGTGACTGTTTCCACATTCAATGATATTCAGCTGCATGAATGATGTAAACATGAACAAACTGTGCAAGCAGGATACAATGAGACACAATATGTTAGCTGTGTCACACCCACTGCGCATTCGGTTAATGTATTTGTGCATGGTAAAACTTTAAAAAAATTAATCATATAATCTGATTGTCACAGACTGATCACCTTGTTTGATTTGTTACAAATTACAGATCTGATGTTGAATAAGGCATGGTTGTTCAATGTAACGTTATGCCCGTTTTTTTTTTACCTCACCCAGACACATTATATTGACTATGAGGCGGCCAGTTCTTGTATGAGTTTCTATCTTCTATGTTGGACTTTCCATCTTCTACGTAGGACTTTCTATCTTCTACGTTGGACTTTCCATCTTCTACGTAGGACTTTCTATCTTCTACGTTGGACTTTCCATCTTCTACGTAGGACTTTCTATCATCTACGTAGCACTCTCTATCTTCTACGTTGGACTTTCCATCTTCTACGTAGGACTTTCTATCTTCTATGTTGGACTTTCCATCTTCTACGTAGGACTTTCTATCTTCTACGTTGGAATTTCCATCTTCTATGTAGGAATTTCTATCTTCTACGTAGCACTCTCTATCTTCTACGTTGGACTTTCTTTCTTCTACGTTGGACTTTCTATCTTCTACTTAGGACTTTCTTTCTTCTACGTTGGACTTTCTATCTTCTATGTTGGACTTTCTATCTTCTACGTTGGACTTCCTATCTTCTACGTTCGACTTTCTATCTTCTACGTTGGACTTTTTATCTTCTACGTTGGACTTTCTATCTTCTACATCCAGCTTGTCACATGATCGAAATCCAGTTAGGAAGGTAGATCTGTCAGTGCAATGTATGGATGTGAGAGAGTTCTTTGCGTTTCTTCTCTATTGGGGAAGTAGGTGAAGAGATTTGCAGCGTTTCATTCTTACATTGAATTGGTTTCAGCGAATCCTTGTGAATAGTCTTGTCCGCAACAAGTAGCCCTTGCGAAAATAAACAAATCACGATCGTTTCAAGTGTCACTTTTATATTATTTTTCTTTGTTGAAGTAAAACAGTAAGCTATTATAGCGTGTTTTCAGGGGTGCATTGGCCCGGACGAACTCGTTCTGGTTTCACAAAAAGTGGTTAGCATTTAACACATGTATGACTTCGGGATTTCATCTTACATCAAGTTGCCATGCCTTGCCGCAAAAGTACTGTTCAGAGACACACTGTTGAATGACACGCAAAGAATTAAGTCACGAAACCGAACAAGTGTATCCAATCACACACACACACACACACACACACACACACACACACACACATATATGCATTAAAACGTGTTTCATTAAGTCTATAGAATGTCACAAAGTGTCAGAGAACAGGTGCCCTAAAATGGATAAGCATGTGATGTCTTCCAGAACCATCAGAGATGAAGGTCACCCTATGACCCAAGAATATTTGTTAAACCTGCCAATTTTTTCCCTCTGTGTGGAAGACAACTAGTAGACCTTTAATTTTCATGAAAATAAACATAAAGGTATTTCGTCAGATATTCAGCTAAATGTCAGCAGTGTCTACCATAAGTCGACGTGGCTATTTTCGTTGCCTGTTGTTTACTTTCTGAAAATTAACTGTCATCAGACACTGCTGGTATTGTGTATGCATCAAACAAGTTAGCGAGCGCTAGCCTGGCCACCCGATCCCGTTAGTCGCCTCTTACGACAAGAATAGTCACCTTTTACGGCAAGCATGGATTGCTGAAGACCGATGTTACCCCGGATCAGCTTTAGAAGTGATGCGTCACTGACAATTATCGTGGCATTTCACAAAATAATTTAATCACACTCATATACCATGCATTGTATCGTCATGTAGTCATATGATTTAAAGATACGTTCAGGCGGCAGATGCATATTTCTAGAATTTGTAAGAAGACACATATCATTATTCAACGTTCTCAAAAACAGGTTTGTGTTAAAGAAATTAAGGAGTAAATACAACCATACTTTTACTTTCACGTCTTCATAATCTATTTCCGTGTGCGGGTATTTATTGTTGTACACGAAACGTTACTTGACTGAATCGTGTTCTTGACAAGAACTATTAGTTTGATATTTTGAGTGATGTTCAGTTTTGAAAAATAAATCAAACAAGCAGAATCTGTATCTGTTGAATGATTGTATTTGTACAAAGTGACACCGGTTGTAAAACACGAGATATTTGACATTTTGTACCATTTTATGTCTTTATATCACGTCCATGTGATTGTAATACAACACTGATGTCAGTATAATTTTTACATGTGTTATATTATTTTAAACGTTTTCTGTAAAAACAAACTCACTTCATTTTGGTAATCAGGTACATTCATCACACAGCTCCATGTCACTCCATGCTGCTTGTACTAGTCCGGCTGATGCCGATTTATAGTGCTAGCCAAATGAGATACCATGCCACAGTTTAACATGAATACCCCACTCAGACACAGTATACTGACTCCGAGCCGACCAGTCCTTGTTTAAACCGCTTAATGCCGAGCTGTAATGCTGTTATTAGATCGATAGTGTTGACGGTATGGTCGGAGTTCGGAAGTAAACTTTTAAAGCATTTCCGACAGCTGTTCCCAAAAAAAAAAACAACGCTTAAAAAGCTTACCATGTATCGTACGAGAAGTTCAGTCCATGCATCTTGTATTAAAAAGCTTAACGAATATGTCCCTCAGAGGCTCAGCATCCCACAGTGGAATAATCGATGAAACAAGTGCATTCAACATTGGTACGGCAAACAGGCCTCAAGACATTTGACACATCAAGCTGTTGTAGCCTTCTTCACACAACCGATAACAACACACACGGGTTTTCTCACAGTTTACTGACATGTCTTTGTAAGCAGGAAGTAGCTACCAACTTAGCAATCGTAGTGTGGTCCGTTCTCAATAGGTTATCTGTTGCTGAAGGCAAATATTAAATTTCATAACTATTGCCCTGAGAATGACCAATCACAGACAAAAACCGAGGAGGATGATATCTTTGTACGATTGAAATACTCCTTCTGTTAATTTCCACATCATGATGTTTCTTCGATTATTTAGAGGCTGGATGCAATTAGCTGGTATATTGCCAAACAAACAAATATAGTTTCCACTCCATTATTAATTTACTAAATTTAAATAACAACACTTGAGGGGTTTCCATGTGGTAATGAATTTTCAGACAAGAAATCAAATACTCACATTTTACATTCATTAAGCAAATCGCGAATGGCTGAGAAATTTTTTTGCGAATCATCTTTGACAGCTATGGACCTGTGTGTCAAGACAATCACATTACACCAGCATTGGTTATCGAAGCATGAATTCGTGCGACTGTGCCCTGAGTACATATACAATAAAGCAAATAATAATCTCGTTGTTTTCCCAGACATGGCTATCATCTGTTTATCCTTCAATAGCTCAGTTCTCCGAAGTGATGCTCCATTAATCTGAAATGGCTCTCCAAACGTGCTTGGAACTAACATGCGAAACTCGGAGGTAATTACTCCGTGCGAAAGAGGTGAAAACATGGCTTTGAGTGTCTGATAACATTCAATGGAAAACACCCACTTATTGACTAGACATTTGATGGAAGCCAAATTAGGAACTACGGTCTGTCAGTACAATGAAAGAGAGTACTATGCTTACAGACTTTATTGGGGAAACTGGTGAATACAACGGCAGGTTTTTTGTTCATTGAAATGGTTTGAGTGAAGTCTGGCCACACTTATTTCAACAAGTGAAATATTCACCAAATATGTCTCACAAAATGAGTGGCAAGACAGAATGATGTTCAAGCAATGTTTACTTTGCTCACTGCGACTACTTACCAATTTGGTCCAGGGCAAAAACAGAAGAGTTCCTAAAATCCGAAGAAAGTTTATTGGTTCGTACTTGGGTTTTCCTGTCGAGTGAGGGAGTTGGGTTTACAACTGATGATGTTGACAGTATTCCAGTTATATCACTGCGTGTCAGTACAGTAGAAGAAAGTCTGGAGTGATGCAGGTCCAGGACGTTTACCACTTTGGTGAAACCCACGAGCACCGGTATGGTTGGTTTCCCTATCAGGATATAGTGCGTCATTGGTCATATTCCCTCATTGTGTCGATCATGGTACATGTATTCTATTAAGTCTTCGAAATGTGAAAATATCATAGATCCAGGTGCATAGATGCTCATGTAATGTCTACCATAACCATCCTTCTCCCAATAAAGATTTATTTTTTCATAACAAAAACATGGCAAAATGTGAGCAGGACTCATTAATACCCCCGACTTCGACTGCAACATTCACTGCGACAACCTGGCCATTTACTTTACCTGTGGTTTACTATGAGTAAAGTTACTTCCACAAGAAACTGCTGGTGTTGTTTTGCCAATCCACGACTGAAATTTCAAGTAACATTTGTACTGTACCAGATTGGAAAGGGATTTGACAAAACGTGTATGAATAGTTGCTCTTCTAAATGTATATTCTATTACTAACAATACCTCTTAATCACATACATTGGCAATAAAGTGCAAACCAATAAAGTCAACTGTTTTGAAGATGCATTATTACGTGTTGAATCCAAAATTAAAATGCGAAAGTATTTTTTTGGGTTCGGTCTCAAACGCCACACTCAGCAATATTCCAGCTATATAACGGGAACAAACTAGTTGGCAAACTTTTTTTGTAATGTTCACACACAAACTCATGTTTGTAAACACAAATCGTCAAACTTGAGTTTGTTGTGTGAAGCTTTCTTAACACCGCAGGGGGCTCCGGTGGCCCAGTCGTCTAAGGCGCCGCGATTCGCTGTGTAGAGTTGCGTCTCCCATGACACGCCAGAAACCTATGATTGTGGGCTCAAATCCCGGTTCACCCCGATTATGTTTCTAGGTTTGTCAGCACCATACCCGTGCTCGTGGGTTTCACCGAAGTGGTAAACGTCTGAGACCTGCATCACTTCGGGCTTTCATCCCACATTAAGCTGACACGCCATGATATAAGTGGAATAATGTTAAAGCGGCGTTAAACCCAACTCACTCACTCACTCACTCTCAACGCCGCACTTGGCAATTTCCAAGATACACGATAGCGGCCTGTAAATGATCTAGTCTAGACCAGTCAATCCAATGATAGTATCGATGTAAACAATTGGGATACGATGACATGTATCAGCCAAGTCAGCGCGCTTGACCACTCGATACCGTTATTTGCCTCTTACGGCAAGCATGGGTTACTGAAGACCAATTCTCTACCTGGACCTTCACGGGTCGAAAGTTATTTTGAAAGTGAGTTGATGTTTTAGGCCACATTGGAATGATTGCAGCCCTATAGCAAGTTATGGCATTTACACATCACCATTATCACATCCAATTATAAACAATGTTAACAGATATCTGGTCCTGTTTTGTAGGCAAACTCTCTGATCTTTCCATCAACATGTAACCTAAATTTGGAAAAGGTGGAGTTATGTTTTGTTAAGTTTGTCATTGCAGGAAGGTCCAGACCCGTGAAGATCCGGGTAGAACAGGTCTTCAGCAACCCATGCTTGCTGTAAAAGGCGACTATGCTTGTCGTAAAAGGCAACTAACGGGATCGGGTGTTCAGGCTCGCTGACTTGGTTGATGCATGTCATCGATCCCAATTGCATGGATTGATGCTCATGATGTCAATCACTGAATTTTCTGGTCCAGAATCGTTTATTTACAGACCTCCGTCATATAGCTGGAATATTGCGGAGTGCGGCGTTGAACAGGAAACCAAACCAAAACAATGTTAATAGATATCTTGTCCTGTTTTGAAGGCTAACTCTCTGTTCTTTCCATCAACATGTTACCTGAATGTGGAAAAGGCAGATTTATGTTGTCATGGCAGGAAGGTCCAGAGCTTAAAGGTGTCTTCCCCGTCCTGGTACTTTTTCTTGGTACTCTTGACGGCTGACTCTCCATTTATCAATCCTTCACAAGATAATCTTGTAAACAGCCCTCAATGTAAATATGCAAACCAGATGTATAATAAAGTCACTCTTTACAGATCTTAGTCTGCCATGACTTATTATGCTTTCATTTAGCAAACTGTTTTGCAAACTAGTCAAAAAAGGTAATCACTCTGTGAAGTGAAAGCCTTGTCTTGGCAGAGCGATGTTTTCAATCCACATCATCACAGTAACATGTAGGAGAAGCTTATCTGATGAGAAGAAACACTGAGGATTTTCCTCGAACATCTGACAGTAAGCTCCGGCAAATCATGAGGTGTAGCAATCTTTATATGTATTGTTTAATGCCGTACTCAGCATTATTCCATCTTTCTGACAGCGGCCTGTAAATAATCAAGTCTGGACAATACAAACCAGTGAGCGATGATCCACGATGTCAACTTACAATGAGACATGTCAACTTACATTGAGCCTGATTGCCCGGAAATGTATGCTGTAATCTGATTGTATGAACGTTTTAATTGAGATTGAATCGATGATTATTATTTGTGTTCCGAAGCATATTCATAGTATTTTCTCTTGTGTAAGCGTAAGTCAACTCGAAAAACAAATATTCCAGGTATGTTATTGCAGTGTGTAAATAATCAATCTTGAGCCAAATATAGCATCACCCTGACCTTAAGGGTATATAATTAAAACTGCCAATTCCCACGGATATTCATATTATTTTTTCATTAAAACAGAGTTCAAAACCCGGGTGATGCTACACAAATGTGTAAACATGGCCGTTCAAACATAATCTGACGCCACTATTCAACTGAAATACAATTGATAGCAGTATTAAAGTCAATTCACACACTGATAACGTAGTGCACGTTATAATATTCCAGACTGAAACAGATGTGGTTTGATTGCTTCATACACTGCAAGCTTGCAAGATCTGCATCCAATGACAGTTGAGTAATAAAGTCCAACCAAGTATAAAAATATTGCCGTAATAATTGGAAAACTTCTAGTAGCTTCATTTAACGAAGTTGAAGAATTCGATAAATCCAACTAATTGGATGAAGCGGGAATTACCTAGCATAAAACTCCAATTTGTCCTTTATATCCGTCTGTGTGAGTGTATTTCGAGCCAATGTGTGACTGTTTCCAGCTGGATTCATCGGTTTAATGAGGTAAAGTTGAAGATAGCATATGTGACTGTTTCCTTATTTGACAAGTATCCTATCACAAAGAACTCTCTGTGCAAGTAACCTGTCTTCGCAAGGTAGAGTAAAGTTCACGTGGTGCCAAATTTTGAACCTCAGTTTAATTATTTTCTGTTGTCTCCCTCCCTGCCTATTACAGAAGAAGGACGTTCTTCACATCGTACATTATCAGTTAGTTGGTTGGTTGTTTTACGACTCAATCAGAAATATTCCAGCTATATGGCGGCGGTCTGTAAATAATCCAGTCTGGACCAGACAATCCAGTGGTTAATACCATGAGCATCGATCCAGGCAATTGGGATCAGCAGGCCAGTATACAGATGTACAAGACGACGTGTAAATGCATTTATAAAAGATGACGGACATTTTGTACTATTTTATTTCCAGAAATTGATCGGACAAGGTAACAACACAAGGCAGATAGATGGATACAGCTGGGGCCATTTTGTGCTCCAGCTCATTATTATTCAAGCAAAGGATTCTGAGGGTGAAATTTACACACATGGGGACACAAAAAATCCATTTTATTTTGCGGTTCTTAAAAAGAATGTGTGTTTCTGCTTCTGGACTTAAACAAGTATGTAATATTATGCGATGAAAATGCTGCTATTCATACACATATTTGAAAGAGGTACCTCTTTATTAACGAGAACGAACAACCTTGGATTAACATAATGTACTAAAACTCAATGCAGAACCTTCATTGGATGACTTTGTATGAATGACATTAATTACCTGTGTGCAATGTGTGGACGGAAAAACATCATGTTAGGGTTTTCCTACTTTTACTCTTAAGTTATGATGCTAAATATTACTTACGATGTGCCCCGTGGAAAATTCGGGGTTAGAATAGGTCTTCAAGAACCAATGCGTCTCGTAAATAGCGACTGTGCTTGTCGAAAGAGGTGACCAACGGCATCGGGGTGGCCAGGCTCGCTGACTTGGTTGATGCATGTAATTGTATCCCTATTGCTTGGATCGATGCTCATTGTCTGGACCAGACTCGATTATTTACAGACCGCCGTCATGTAGCTTGAATATTGCTGGGTGCGGCGTTAAACAACAAACCGAAAAATCGTGACGTAATTGCTGCTGTTTCAGTGTACACAGAAGAACTTTCATCGATTTCAACCTCCATTTGAGACGTGTTTGGGAGTATGAGTTTGTATGAAAGGTAATTACTATCTGTGAAAGTCTGGAAGAAGAGCCACCAGGGGATGGTAGGCTTCACTGTTATAACTCACTTTGGCATTGCCAAAAGATGGATTGGAAACCGCTGGGAAAGCTCGTAGACTTTTTCTGTATGACCTTGACAGGCATTGACGCCTTGGACATTGCTTCCTGAGTTTTCTGGTAGTTCTGGAGAACGTTTTAAAGTAATGTTGCATGAGGCAATAACTAAGACTTACACATTGATGACCTCAATCAGAACTCCTTCTCTATTCACGTGTGTTTTTGACTCACAGTCAAAAGAGTGCGAGGATACGACTTCAGCGGATTTCCTTCGACGGCTGGACAACAGGTTTTTCACACTTCCACCTTGACACGCTGCCGGGGACTGTAATACAAACAGGCATCTTTTGTCTATATTATACCTGTCGACATTTTGCAACCTGAGTGAGTTACTCTCATGTATGTGAGTTATCCGCGAAATGGCTGAACAGAATATTATTATCATATTTGGATATAGAATATGAATCAATGTTTTTCCATTATGATAGCCAGGCTCGCTGACTTTGTTGATGCATGTCATCGATCCCCATTGCGTGGACCGATGCTCATGATATCAATCACTGGATTGTCTGGTCCAGACTCGATTATACACAGACCGCCGTCATATTGCTGAAGAATTGCTGAGTGCGGCGTTAACCAACCAACCAAAGTCTCTTAACAAGTCTCATAATTTCTCGCTGTAACTTATGTTACATGTTATGTGTGTTTGCGATGAGACCAAAATAATCATATGGGGCAAAGGGGTTGCTTAGTGGAGAATGGGATTGATCGCCATTCTGACTCCCAGGGTTGGTTCGACAATAATCAAAGAATAACCCAATAACAAATATGATTATTTGGTTTAAAGGAATTCGAACTATTCTGTCATAATCTCTTATTTGACAAATATGCCAAACAGCAGATGAATTATCTGTAAAGAGGACCGCCTCCGTGGTCTAGTGGGAGAGAGTCCGCCAAGGGAGCTAAAAGTCCGGGGATCGGTCCCCGTCCGCGCCATACCAAAAGAAGTTAAAAGATGGTACTTGTTGTTACCTTGCCTGGCAATGTGCATGTTACCTAACTTCACTAGGTAAAGTTCACATGTTGCCAAATTTTGAACCTTAGTTTCGATTGTATTTCGTGCCGGATTCATCGTTTTAAATAAACATACATGTATGTGACCGTACACGTATTGGCCAAGTATCCTATCGCGCAAAAACAATGTTAACTGTCTTCAAAAGACACACTGTTTTCCCATGCGGTGCCAACTTTTGAAGTAAAAAATTCTTAAGTTCAGGGGTTCAAATCATGCAATCAGACAGCGATGAGAGGGGTCTCCGAAAAATTAATCTGTATTTTAATTTGTTGGTCAATATGAATTTTGAAAATTCGAGAGAGCCGTATCCCTCACGACGTGTATTATGTTTGGCGTTATTGTTTGTCATCACCTTTTTCCGTTTGGTAAATGCCTGGCATGAATTTATTCTACTTTTGTCCTATCATAAAATCCATTGAAAAACTGTTAGAAACAACGGTTACTGCTCACTCCTTGTTTTTAGTTCATCTGAATGACTGTTTGACTAACTTGTGACGTGTCACGATATAGCATGTTTCAATTGTGAGGTATGTTAAATACCATGTGTGAGTGAGTATTGTTTTCTGCCTCAACTGTTTCACTGTCACAGCTCTGTCACTTATTCGTGAGTGACTGTTTCCACATTCTATGATATTCAGCTACATCTCAGTGGCCTGTAAATAAATAACGAATGCATGAATGATGAAAACATGAATAAACTGTGCAGGATACAATGAGACACAATATGTTAGCTGTGTCACACCCACTGCGCATTCGGTTTATGTATTTGTGCATGGAGAAATGGACAGTCACGTACAAAAATATTTATCATAAAATCAGATTGTCACAGACTGATCATCTTGTATAAAATAAGGCATGGTTGTTCAATGTAAAATTATGCCGTTTTTTTCACCTCACCAAGACACATTATATTAACTCAGAGACGGCCTGTCCTTGTATGACTTTCTATCTTCTACGTAGGACTTTCTATATTCTCCGTAGGAGTTTCTATCTTTTATGTAGGACTTTCTATCTTCTACTTAGAACTTTCCTCTCTTCTAAGTTGGACTTTCGTATCTCCTATATGTGATTGCAATTGCCTACGTTTTTCCCACGTTCAAACATACGAGAAAAAAAAGTCCTATCTTGGAGACAAGAGAGTCCCGCATCGGAAAAATGAAAGCCCTACATCTTCAAATGAATGTTCCGTACATCCATTCACCAGAGCATATCGCAAATCTTACAAAATGAAATATTTACTATTATCTCCAAATTTAACATAAAACAAACAGGATAGATACAAATGTAAACACCCTGACAATAATATAAACTACAATAACAATTTTTGACTATATACGCGTCGTAACTGTTGAGTGGCGGCAGGGTAACCCAGTCGTTGAAGTGTTCGCTCGTCACGCCGAAATCCCAGGTTGGATTCCCAACATGGGTACGATATATGAAGCCAATTCCTGGTGTCCCCCGCCGTGATATTGCTGGAATATTGCTAAAAGCGGCGTAAAACCATACTTACTCACTTCACAGTTGAATATACAGACAAATAAGATAGTGTTAACATCATTGCCCACTGACACCGCTCGAAAGATGAGTCCGATGTGAGGCTTTTTTAAATGAATCCCTTGCGGGGTCACAGTCCACACAGTTAAGTACACAGATTACATGACTGAGTATCAGGAGAGAAGAAAGCTCAACGCTAAAGTAATCTTTCCACTTTGTGCGACCTGACACATATGATACATGAATATATAGCATAACCAGCTGTACAACATTTATATAACGATACAGCATTTATATCATGTTTCTAGCTACATTATACTACTACACTGTATCAGACATGCACCATAATAAATGTGTAAAATATGCATTTAAGAGAGATCAGTAACAAGATCTAAACATATGTGAAAACAAGAGCTCTTGTTTCGCTTAATTTTCACGAGCAGAGGAATTGTAATTATTTTAACATATGAGTAAATTTTATGCGTCAGTTAAGAGAATTATTATTATCTCTTTATGTCGTTGTTTTGTTGTAATGTCTTAACGTTTTCCATTCAGTGCTGGTCCGGGGCTCCTTAAGTTCAAAACAAATCACACTTGGACAAAATTGTTTAGTAGCCAGTAAGATAGCTGGTGTTCTATTATATATGGTGTATATTTTATACGAAAATATTGTTTTACAATTATAACTGAACATTCTCGCTAACCCAGGCCATTTCTTAAACAAAGAGTATCCACTTGTACCGGCCGGCGATATTATTTGCCACGTTTTAAAACAAATAGAGCTTTCACATTTGTTTTTTCTATCAATTATTCGTCTCTTATTAAATGATAGGTAGATTCCGGCTCTAACACGGCTATCAATTGACTTTTACATGCTGTTTAACACTGTAATTGGATCATCCTACAAAAGATAAAAACAAATAGTGATAACATAATTACATCATCCTCTGCAACTGTGGACATAAGAAATAATGCTATTCACAAAGGGGCATATCCGCTTTTGTCTGGCACGTTTGCTGAACACTTCCCTTTCACCTGTTTAACACAAATCACATCAACACTTTCAGATATCATAAAAAATAAAGGAATGACACAACAAAATTTATCACCCAACTGTTTTCAACAGGATATATTCCTTTAATGAGATCAAGCTGTATGTCCTTTGATATATGGCTACAATGAAATAGCATCAGAATGCTTTGTAGCAATGCAACATCATCAGTTAACATGTTCGCGAAATAGATGAGCGTATCCTGCCCCAACGGCGTTACTGTCACAAACACATGCAAAGGCAAGTAAATTGTTCACCTTGAAAAAAACACGGATGCGTCAAGTTTGGAAATGTCCTCCACACGGCCACCATAAAACTTTCTGAAAGGCTTTGAATGTTGTAACCTTGATCAAAATCTTCTGAGCAAGAGTTGTATGAGGTTGTGTAATCTTGGAAGAACGAGCATGCTCGATTGCACCTAAGAAGTTGTGAAATGTAGGCACCAAGGGCTGGAACTGGAGGAATAATGCTCGGCACAAAGGGCAAGTTGACTATTGGAAAGTTGAAGTCATCCCATTGCCATGCGGGATTGTCTTGTCACCCTTGAATCTTTATGCACAGATCTGAATATGAAACAGATGAAACGGTCTCACTGGTCTCCGGCCCGTGAAGATACGGGGAAGAATAGATCTTCAGCAACCCATGCTTGCCGTAAATGGCGACTATGCTTGTCGTAAAAGGCGACTGACGGGATCGGATGGTCAGGCTCAGTGACTTGGTTGATGTATGTAATCGTATCCCAATTGCGTGGATCGATGCTCATGATGTCAATCACTGGATTGTCTGGTCCTGACTCGATCATTTACAGACCGCCGTCATATAGCTGGAATATTGCTGAGTGCGGCGTTAAACAAGAAACAAACAAACAAACAAAAGATTATGCGATGATGCCATGGAGCAAGTTAAAAAAGACAACTGTAATCTCAGGTTACTCATTTAGGAATATTACATGAAATATGACAGAAACAATTTACAAAATTATGTCTGAATACTTTCTACAAAATAGCTGTTAAAGTCACAGTAACTAATGGTGAACAAGTGACTTCTCTGAACCCACGCATCCATCACACAACCGCAGTGCCATGGGTATACCGGCAACCTGTAGACACATCAATCAGATTGCGGTGTGTGTGGATCCTGAAGATGTATCTCGCACACTCTTCTGACGAATTGTGAACTATTAGATTGCTCAGAGAAGGAGTGCTATATATACTGTAGGGCAATTTACAGACTGACTCTGTAAATGGAGCTGTCAATCTGTAGTGTTGGGAAATGCTTTATCGTATCGCGTGTCAGCAGTTATCAAGTAAATAGACAGAGTGCATCTGAAGGTTGGTTTGTTGTTTAAGGCGACTAACGGGATCGGGTGGTCAGGCTCGCTGACTTCGTTGATGCATGTCATCGATCCCAATTGGGTGGATCGATGCTCATGATATTAATCACTGGATTGTCTGGTCCAGACTCGATTATTTACAGACCGCC